CTGGAAACACCTTACTGTAGGGTACTGTTCAAAAAGCTACATGACACCTACATAAGCTTGTCATTACAACTCACATAACCCTGCATAAATATTTATAAATGCTTATCCCAATAGGCGTCATCTTTCATAAAGGATATTCTATCTACTTTAACTTTGATCAAAACTGGCAAATGTAACCTTTATAGCAAATGATGCCTAAAAGCATTTATAAACACTTATGTCCGTTTGTTGTGACAAGCTTACGTAGATGTCATGTAGCCTTATGAACAGTAGCCTACAGTAAAGTGTTACTGATTTCTTTGCAGTGGTGGTGAACCAGGGATCACAATATCTAGAACACAAATATAGCCATTTTATTTACCAAAAACCACCAGTGAACCTACACGTCTTCCGACAAAAAAAAAGTAGTAAAAAAAAGACATGAAAGGGACTGTTTTGCCTTAGAATGCCCTGCACGTACCTTTCCGCCATGCAGGCTTGTGCACAACATTCAAGGGGGGGCAGGGGCTCAAGGGGAACAAAGGGCAACATGAATATGAAATATAATCATGTTTCAGAGAAAACTAAACACAATGTTAAGGGTTTTTCCAAAGGCAGCAAAAAAACTACCTTTGCAATCTATGCAGGGATTTTAATCTCACTTGCTAGCAGGGAAAGCTGTGACGTAACTCAGTAACTCAGCAGCAGTATTTAATCACTAGGTAGTATGCAACCCTATTTAAAAAGCCCATATCTTACATTATTCTTGTATTTTATTTTTCTCTGAGGCGCTCTTATAACACTTGCGTTGTTCTATGTACCAAATACAGTCATAACTCATTTTTACATGATCATTTTTCAACCTCTTTTTATCACTTAAAATTATACAGACTGATTTGTTACTGTGTCTTTAAGACTGATAAATGTAAATGACCTCTGTTCTGATTGGCTGTCCTGCAGTCCGGGTTGAAACATTCTATATAGCTTCAGTGTGAATGAACAGGTTTAAACTGCTGTAAGCTGATTAGGTGGATATATGTAAATGTGATGGTTTACATGACATCACAAAAACAGTGAATTCAAAATGGGCTGTTTTCACAGCTTAGCTTCCATATATGGACTGAGGAGTGAATGGTATGTTTTGAAACTTTTAGCAGTGTTTGCCTACTATATCAAACTCTTTTATTTCAAATATGGGCTCTTTATAAGCCCTATAGAGTTTCATATAAATGTTAATGTCCTGTTTTTACAATAATTAATACTTGTTGTACAAAGCTTTTGTTGTACAAACACCTTTTATTGCAGACATTATGTTTGGTTGTTTTTCAAAATAACTAAATTGTGGAATATGACGCTAAATTAAAGAGATTATCAGGATTTTATTGATGGGATTTCTAGCGATGTGGTGATGTGTGACAGGTCGGAGCTACCGAGGAGAACTGCAGGCAGTGGTACCACACCCAAGAGCAATGAATCTCATAGACCCCAAGCTGTCCCACAAGCTCCATTCCCAGGGCGAGACAGAGCCTGATCTCACTGAAACTCATCTTGAAGAATGGTGGAGACAATTGAAAAACAGTTATTATACATACCAACCAAGAGGGCACCTGTACAGTCTGAGGACAAAGAGGCAGAGGCTTAATCCCACCTGAAGTCTATCTGTGCACGTGCCTGCTGCAAGAATGGATTTTTCCTAAAAAAACCTAATCTCAAAACTATTATAAAACGTCTCAGGCATCAGGAGAGCAATTTATAGCCATTTAATGTAAGAGCTTTCTTTAAGGGAGCTTTCAGAGACATAAAACTCTTCAAACGTCTGGTTCTTATCACCACCATTGTGAACAATTCTGATTCTGTAAGTTTCTCTTTAATAGAGTGATTCACACCAAACCACTTTGAATGACTCTGTTTAGGTCTCAGTGATAGAATGTTGCAGATATTTTGAAAAATAGGTGGAATTCCCCTTTAAATCTTCAGACATCCAGTTCCAATCACCACCACTGTGAATAATTATGACTTTCTAGAATGGAATATTTCACAACAAACCACACTAAACAACTTAATGATTCAGCCATGCAGAACAAACGAGAACAATCAGCGGAGTTCTCATTTAAAAGGAAAGCATGGAATTAAGATTGATTGATGCTGCCTGTAAAGTTAGCTTCCCCTTTAATGAGCGCAGATTTGTTTTTGTACACTGTGTCTCACAATGCATAAAAATGAGCAATGACAGAACTCACTGATACTAATACTGTCAGCACACTATGTTGAAATTGAACCATTTATAAGGTTGTGGATCTAAATAAGAGAATGACTCATGTTTTCCAGGCAAACGCTCGAGCTGGAGGTGAGTAAATGTGACAGTGACTGAGCGCAGGGCCTCAGTGCAGCACTAAAGCCCTCTCCGTCAGGGTGATGGTTAGAAGGTGCTGCGTAATTGCACCGGATCTGTTGATCTTTGGTCTGGCTGTGGTACATATGGAGGCTCCCTGCCTAATGCAAAGTTCTGGTTAAACATTGCCCCAAAGTTTGCGTTCCGCCTTCTGTTGTTTTTACACTACAGGCCTGGCAATTGTTGGGGGCATTATTGACTTTGTAATTAAACTATTTTAACGTCGGGATTTTGTAATCATTACATTTCAAGCCATCTGTTCCAGTCCAAGGGCTGAAATGGATTTTCCCTTTGAGCAGATAAAAGACAGCACAATGCAGTCTGTTTTATCATTAATTCCCTGTTCTTTATACACAGTATGGACAAATGCTGAAATCATCGTCGAACCCATAGCGAGCATGTATCAGCGCCGTATATTCAAATACAGCATGCAGCTTTGAGATGATATCATTTCTGTACACAAATGCAGCGCCCAATCTAATGTTACTGATTATGGTTTTATTAGCTTCCATCTGCTGAAAGACTAACAAAGCTCAATTTGGAGAACACAGGGATGGATAAAGCACCCTTTTCCCCTCTGAGGGTCACAATGTATAAACAGCTTGTGGCCTTAAACGCCTCTATTGGTTCTGGTTTGGGTCAACACCTTTATCAGGGCGTATCTTAACCCATTGTACAATGGAGAAATCAACTAATCTCTCCCAGGGCAGATAACACCTGACTTTGATCCACAGCTTCTTCAGGTGGGTTTCCTGCCTGTAATCTCTAACTGGACCACAGAGAGTCTAGTTTACCTATTAAAGCCTCATGTATTCTCACAGCGTTGGCACACGGGTGCTAAGTGTAAAGATAAGGATAAACATGCCAAACAGCCTGTAACAGCTCCTGAACTCTGCATCCAAATTGTTTATATGCTAGCACACTATTTCACGTCATACAGTGAGGTTCTTCTCATTCTCTCATATCGTCTTACAGCTACGTAGGGGTAGCACACATATTTCATTTGAAAATCATTTAGCCTTAACCATTACTGGAGCTAATCTTTATATCTACACATTGCTGGGTGACATGATTTGCCCTCTAGAAACAAAGAAGACCACAGAGCAGTTGCATAAATATGACAAATATATACCCAATGTTCACTTTATTAGAAGCGCCAACCACACACACTATTGTGCAAAACTCAGAGTCCCTTCATTTATGTAATTTCTAGTCAACACTGCCATTAAATACAAGTTTGGGAAAAACAGAAAACAAACTTTTAACAGAAAACTACACTAAATATAATATCACATTTATTGCCTTTATTACAGCTTCCATGTTATTTAGGAGACTTGCTTTGTGGTTTTTTTTATACCTCCAAAGTTTTGTCTTGGAAGTTGGTTGTATGTTTGCTTCTTACAATCCATGTGATCCCTATTACACATTTAAACTCATCAGCCCAAGCTTAATCCACATCTCAAGTGTCCAGTTTTGGTGTTTTAGAGCGAATTTCCTTTGTTCAGTAACAGCTCCTTAGCAGCTGTGGATTTTTACCGAATTTTTAAGTGATGGGGACAGTTCTACCAGGTCTTGCACAGTTGTTAGGAGTCTCATTTTCTCTGTATTTTTAAATCATTTTCTGACGTTTTTGAGTTTTGGAAAGTCTTTTTCAATTATTTTCCATTGACTTTCCTCTTCTTATGCAAGTGGATTTTCTTATATCTAATCTCCTCAGAAATATCTCCTGAAAAATTAACAACTTGTACTTATTAGCTGTTTTGACTTGAAATTAAATGAATGAAAGGTGGTCTCTGGCCTTTTGCACAGGACAGAGAATTTCCACTCACTGGCCATTTTATGAGTTCCTTCCTTGTAGGTTCACTATACAGGTTCATGGTTACAGACTGTAGCCCATCTGTTGCTGCACAATTTATAAGCCACCCTCAACACCACTTTCATCACTGGTCAGTTTCAGACCACAGGACTGCTGTTGACCATATATTGTTTGTGGCACTGACATGGTGGTGAGTGATCAAATCAATGTCACTGCAAGGTTGAGAGTGGTCCACCACCCAAAAATATCCAGCAAAGAGTGACTCTGTGGTCAGAGGATGACGTACACAAACTGTGGATAAACACATGTGCAGCGGTCTGTAATTATACACAAGCAAAGTGGAGCTACAGAGAAGGAGTTTCCAATAAAGGGACCAGTGGGTATATATGATAAATGCTAAGGATGCTGAAGCTTGTTTCTTTAAATATTTACATTGCCATTGAGATGATGATGCACTTTATAAACAACCACCAGCATCATAAATCATGCACATAAAATAAATTTAAGGCAAGATGTGCTGACTTCGGTGTTCCAGTGATTTTACTGTGGACTGATTAATCTCCACCATTGATGGCCAATCAGAAAGCTGCACTTATAAAGTGATGTGATATGCTTTACTTGATTCAAATGTGTACATCATTTCCACACAAATAAAATTCGTTACATCAACAAAATGTTTGTCTTTCAGTTTGGCAATAACTATGCTGGTGTAATATTTTTTATTATAGTGGAAATGACATATGCTTGAATCAAGTAAATTCAATCAATCACTTTTTTCAGTGTCTGATATTTCCAGTAATATTTTTATGATATTCTAAAAGAACTCTAAATAACTATTTATACCAAAGACTTGCTTCTGCATTAGTCAGACAAGCCAGAATGAAGGATCAATAATCCAGGGTTATCTGAGCAACAGTCAGGGTGGTCCTCCAGTTGACCCCATGAAGACAGTGTTGATGGGTGGCAGGGAGGACACCATGCCCGTACCTCCACACTGCTCTGGTGAGGCAGCAGGGCTTCTTGGGAATTATGATACTGAGTAGCAGAGCCGTACATGCATGGAGAGATAGAGCAGGGGATGGGAGGGGCTACTGAAGACGCTGCAATACACAAAAAGGAAACAACAACAGAAGGAACAGTTTAGTTCAAAAACAGCCACATTGGTCTATGCAGTCAGCTCAAGAAATGCTAAGCAGGTAAGCACTGAAAAAAATTGTTCAGAAAATAAACCAGACTGTAATTTAAACATCACCACAGTTGAAAATTAGCCAGATTGGCTAAACTGGCACATTTACAGAAATGTTTACTAATGTGCATTGGCTCTGTAAATCTAATTCAAATAAACTAAATCAAACCTAAATACAAAAAAAGCTAACAACATAAAACAGAAAAAACAGTCTTTTTCAAGAATAGCTACTGGTGTTCATTTTCAATTCCATTAGAACAAGAAATATAGGCAAACAGGTCAAAGACAACCCTTCAAAACAGCAAATAAGCATATTAAGTTCAGGAAGTGTTAGGGAAAAAGCAGAAAACAGATACAGAAAATTACACAGAAGCATCAACAGCTAAATATAATATCAAATTTTGTCAGTATTTTTTGTGTCTATACTTTGCCTTTATTACAGCTTCCATTCTTTTCAGAAGGCTCACTTTCAGTTTTTTAAAGAAATCTGCAGGGATGTTTTTCCACATCTCCAAAGTTCAGTCTTAAGAGTTGGTTGTGTTTTCTGCTTCTCATGATCCAAATAATCCCAAACACATTCAGTGATGTGGTTGAGGTCTGGACTTTGGGATGGTCAGTCCACTGTTCCGAGACCACCAGCAGCTTCTTTGTTTGATTTTTCATCTTTTTAAAAACTATTTTTCTTTTCTCAGTAAGGGCTTCTTGACAGCTACACATCCTTTCAGACTCATTGTGTTAAGTTGTCTTCTCACAGTGGAAGCATGGACAGAAACATCTGTGGTAAAAGTGGAGCTTGATTTTCTTGTGTCTCTCAAAGATGAAAGCCTTAGGTGCTGTTAATCTGATGGGGGCAGTTTTGGTGTCTACCAGGTCTGGCAGGCGGTTGTTAGGAGTCCCATTTTCTCTGTATGTTTAATAAATTTTTGAAGTCTAGATTTGGAAACTTCTCTGTTTTCCTCTCATCTACCTTTGATTTTCCCCTTCCTTATGCTAGTGGATTATTTTACATCTAATCTCCTCAGACTTGGCTGTTTTGACTGGACATTAATTAAATGAAAGGTGACCTCTCACTTTTGCCCAGTACTGCACACAATAATTTTTCAAGAAATTAACTAAACATTTTTTGTGACTTTTACTTGAAACAGCAATATTAAATCAGCATTGTAAATGTTTGTCCTCACCAGCTGTGCGTGTAATTAAAGAAGGCTGTTCAGGGTAGTAAGGACCTGCTGCCTTCCTGCCCGCGTCATTCAGAATGTTGAGAGGATCGTGGACGTCAGTGTACACAGGGAGGGAGCGAATAGAGCTCACACTACTGATCACAGACACATGCTGGTCAATCAGGGAGCCCATCCTCTGACTGTCCACATAGCCGCTGTTTCCATAGTAGCCTGTCAGTCGGAGAGAAATAAAACAGAATGACTTTCCAAAAAATAAATAAATAAATAAAAATGCAACACCTTTTTGTCTAAAAGGAAGAGAATATTTTTCATAGCTTTTTTAAAAATTTGAACTACTGTTTTGGTGCATTTTGTCCAACTTGCTAGGAAAAAAGAATATTATGATACATGTTGTGTATTGTGCAAATGTCTTCAGCTAATGAGTTGCTACAATTTCTTGCCATATTGCCCACCCTTAGACATTACATTGACCAGAACCAATGCTTTGATTTGGACAACTTCATTTTCTTCCACATGAACCCACGACATAATAACTGAATAAAACAAATCAATACATTTCAACTAGAAATTACCATCCACTAGCATTGTACTAATCACTTGGACTTTGTGAACATTTATGGAAATTTCTCACCACTAATTTTTCATTCTCACCGCTATGTGCTGTGCTGGTGTACACTGGGCCTGAACATCCTCCTCCAACAAAGCTGTAACCCGTCGTGTCCAGTAGCTGAACTCCTTGTGCCTCCACACTGGGGTCAGTAGCGGCTGAGTAGCTAGCTGATGATATTCTGGAGCTGTAGGGTACGGCACCGCAACTGCTGCTAAAGCAGTCCTTGGCCAGCTGCTGCCCACTGAAGGATGCGTATCGTCCGCCCTCGCTGTGAGCTTGATAGGTTGAAGAAAGGCTGGCAGGCTGGTAAGTGGAAGAGCTGGGGTAGTAGCTGGAGGTGGAGTTAGACAGGTTTTGGCACATGGTGTCAGGGAATGTCTGGCACGGCACATGAGACTGGATGGGGCAGCCGCCCTGCGACCTCACAGCCATCGGGCCTTGGTTTATCACACTGCCTCGGTTGGCCATGGCTGGAGACATCGGAGGAGTGATCAGTGGGCCACTGTTTTGGGTATAGTCTAGTTGTCCTTGGTTAATGACATGGCATGTTGAATAGATAGAGAGATAGAAAGTGCATTAATATGAAAGGAATGTGCATGGTCACAGAAGTAAAAAAGGACTGTGCAAATGTACATATAGTACTGTGCAAAAGTCAGAGAGCACACAGAGGCAGAACAGCCATTAAGCAAGTTAAGTTCATTTTCAGCTGAATAGATATAAGAAAATCCACTTGCATAAGGAAGGTGAAAAAGTTAAAGGAAAATAAGTAGAAAAAAGGCCTTTCCAAAACTGAAGCTTAACAAATGATTAAAAGACACAGGGAAAATGGGACCCCAAGGAAAATCTAAGAAGCTGCTTCTCTGAACAACGACCAATGCAGAGTTCAGATCTTAATATCATTAACTGTTTTTTAAGATTACAACTTCTAAAACCACTTTGGAGGTGTGGAAAAATATCCCTGTAAGTTTTCCTGAAAAACTGAAAGCATGTGGAATCCTGAAAAGAATGAAAGCTGTAATAAAGGCAATATGCATTTTCAGTAAACAATTATATTTATTTGTTAAATTATTAGATTGAAATTGTCAAATGTATGTTTTATGCCTTTTTTCCTGACACTGAAAAATGAATAACTTATGCTTAATGACCATGTGGACTGGAAATTAAATAAATGATGGGTGGTCTCTGACTTTTGCACAGTACCCTTAGGAAAAAAAAAACAACAAATTGACAGAATCTACTAAACTTACATTAGACTTAAACACTGTGGGTTTAGAATGTATATTTACATTTGATATAATTCGTTTTGAAAATTAGAACACAAAAGCACTGTTATGTCATTTAAGATTAAATTTAAGTGCACCAGTGTTTGATATGTTGCATAATTTGCACAGAATCTGTTTGCAATGTATTGATCATCAGTGAACATACAGCACGTAATGACGAGATATGATTTGACCTTTATAGCATTACTTATACCAGATAGAGTAAAGCCGTCTGGCTCCGTTCCTTGGTACACCACCATATTGGCTCCTAGCCCATGCTGACTGCCTGGCATAGATAGATACGCATACTCTGGGTGGGTCTCATTCTTAACAGAGGAATCGCTGGACGCCATCCCTGTTTTACTACGATTGGCCAGGAAGCATGAACTCGGGGAAGCAGTGAATGTCGCCTTACTGGCATCTGGAATTATTAAAATATGATGATTAACTCAGCTTAAATAACTGGTTAGAGGCATTTATGGACATTAAATAATCATAGTACCTGCATTTCTCATGTATTTGTCCAGGAGGTTCTGGAGGTCTTGCTCTTTGTCGTTATTGAACTGTGTTTCAATGGCCAGCAAGATATATTCATCCAATAGCATCCTAATGAGGTGGAAGGAGCCTGAAGGAGACATTTTGATAAGTTGTACCTTGGGATCCTTTTACGGAAGCGCTATAAAAAATGCTAACAAAGTCAACACAGAGAAGCCTTTTTCCTTGTTGGACTTGAGAAAAGATACTGATTAAAATGGGACAAACTGCACTGATTAGGAGTGTGAAAGAAGCTTTCCCTTCTCAGCAAAACTGACCCAACCTGCCCTCTGCTTACATCCCTGATGTTTCTTTTTAAAAATAGCATTCACTTCTTGCTCATGCAAGACCAGGAACTCTTAAAATCTTTGCAAGCAAAAAAGAAGAAAACTGCTCTAAATGCACAAGGCTAGATGTGAAAGAGTCACTACTGGTGGCATTTAAAAGCTGCTGAAAGCAGAGGTGAAAGGGAGCACTTTTTATTGATCTGATTTGAAAGGGTCAGAGGTTAAAAACTGTTCTGCTGGGCTTTTTGGGCTTTTTAAATTCACTCTCTAATAGCTCCATCTCTGCCTGGTGGCTGAACAGTAAGGTCATGTGATGGCCTCTCCAAGTGAAGCTGTTTGGCTTTGTGTGTCCACAGGGCCATCAAAAGCTAAAATGACTAGAACAGGCTCTTCCTAATCAGTGCACACGTGTCCAAGAGATAAAGAGCTGTTTATTTTGGACGGGTCACTACATTTTACAGCACATTGTGGAATTGTAACCAAACTGGAGTGAAGGTTTACGCTGTGGGAAAAGTAAAACCTTAAACTGCAACTGGAGCATTTCTCAGAAGAAGCCTTAATGTTGATCCAGAGGAGGGAGGGGTCAGTTCTCAAAAGGAGGATGACAAAAGAAACCCTTTGGTGACGTACCAAAGCTTGTGGCATTGTTTAAGGTGAGGGTGTGCATCACTCGGGCCCCGAAAAAGCTCCATTTGAGTAAAAAATCCTGGGCCCGCTTCTTAACCGAACGACCATTCTGTTTACTGGGCTGAAGAAAGAGAAAAGAGTGTTTATTCTCAGCCACGGCTACTGTGGATGTGCTGATTGTACTTAGTTTCAACCAACCTTAATAACTTTTTGTTCCACCACAGAGTCCAGCCACTCAATAAAAGACTCTACGGTGGCATTTTTCCTCAGGAGGTCCTTCAACTCCTGAAACACTGAAAAAGAATCATCTGCAAGATGAGAAAAAGAAACAGAATGAATGTTTTCAGGCAAAATGAGAGACAACGCACTATCTAACATATTTCCAAGAACTTTATAAAAGGGTGGAACTCCATGACTCACATTCAGAGTAGAAGTCCAAGTCATGGTCGCTAGCGTTGGAAAGGAGTGCCTGGGAGCCGATGCTGTTTAAATCTACTTTATCAATGTCGTTCACCATGGACGTCACAACGTTTTGGTCAAAAAGTGCTGGCCTTGCAATCTACAGTAAAAAAAAACAACATGGCCATTGAAAATGCTCTTGTGCTCCACAGAAGCTCTTCAATTTGCAAAACAGTAGGTGGAGTTGTGAAATGCTGACCTGCGCAAGGTGTAAGAAGGAAGTCTGGCGCTTTAAAGAGGACACGAAGCGACGAGCTATGGGCAGCTTCTTTTCTGAGAGGACTTCTGGGAGATTTTCCAAAGATGACACCATCCAGTGCTCCCAGTGTTTTGCAAAATTTCGAATATCTGCCAAAAGGCTAGACATATTGTCCCGAAATTATTAGAATTATTACAGTTACAGAATAGAATACTTGTTTGCTAAACTAACCAGCAGAATACTAAGCCATTTAGGGTGTCATGATTACTTGATTTAAAACAACTTATTATAAAAAAAGGCTAAAATCAACATCCTTGATGAATTGCCTTAGTGATTAGCTACATATCTGAATGAAAGACAGGGTATCTGCTCGTTATTACAACATTCTGAAGAGTCTCCATAAGGGGGAACTATAAGCACTTAAATCTCTTTTGTGTGCATCATTGAAAACCCACACCAGCAGGATCTCACAAAAGCATACACATTTGTAGTAGCAAATGTCACATGTTGAGTAAAATTATTATTTGCTGTTACAAACTGCATGTATGTGAAGTAAATGAAGTAAAGGTGTATATAAAGTAATAGGTTTTGTTTAACTGGGTCTAGGGGAACAGCTCAGCTGGCAGGCTAACCAACTTTTCCAATGATATTATTAGGCCGAATGATTCATGGTAAGACTACAGATTACTTCATTATTCGTCCAAAACTCAGTAGATTTGCACAAATACTCCTGTAATTGACAGTAACAGCCTTATAAGCATAATGGCTGATGATTTTCTTTTTCTTGACACATTGTGTAAGACTGGAATAAAACAAACCTTTCGGGCATATCCTGCATTGTAGCAGGAATGAGAACGTCAGTCAGTACCTGAGAAAAAACAAATAGTTTCTCATGAGCACTTTCTCCAAATTGTTTCATGATCATATCCCAACACACAGGCACACTGCACTTACCTTGTAAAGTATAGAGTCACACACACAAAAGATGTCCACGATTACTGGATTCTCCAGCAGAGGCAACAGATGGCCAGGCATACCTTGCCAGAAATGAAGCAAGAAGTTCTGGATCTGCAAAATATTTATTATTAGACATTTAAGCTCTTTTCATATTATATTCAGGTTATTTATGTTTCTGGATGGTAAAATAATACCTCTTCAAAGTTGACACTGATAGCGTTGTCAAGAATGCACTGACAATGAGTTTTGTACATCATTATCAGTGTGTCGACCTAAACAAAGAAAGCATCAGTGAAGAAAGTGGGACATATTTAGAGTAGGAAAAACACACCTGTTAACTGGAATTACAGTGAACAAACCTTTTCCTTGGAAATGGAATCATCAAGTACTAAATGCTGTGCACTTGGGAATTCAGGGAGCAATGTTCCTGTTTTAGAACTAAGTGAATATTTCCGTGTGAAGCCTCCCTGTGAATTACAAATGAAAGACAGAAACTGAAACATACAGTGCAATGTATACCTTCATTTTATTTTGGTAGGAGTTATAAAATGTGTATATCAATGTAGCATAATCTTGTAGCATGTCTCACTTCACGTAAGGTAATGTTCAAATGTTAATATAAAAATGATAAATGTTAGCATTGAAATGTTCATATGAAAATGCTAACCTCATTTTTGAGTTTGCTCCCAGAGAATCTGTAAAAATAAAAATAAAAACTTTTTTTAAATTTGAAAAATTTAATTAAACTTTTCTGTAAATGTTTTCATTACATTCAAATTTCCTATTAATTCATTACTTAAGTTTTTTCACCATTTTCCCAGATATCATCATCATGATCATCATCATCATCATCATCATTTTTAACTGCCTAATCCAGATAAGGTCCAGATATCATACTTTAAACAAAAATAATAAACAGATAATTCATTGTTGGTTAGAGTGTTAAATTTACCTTGTTAGACCTTTTCCTGAGTACACTGAATGATAGTAAGCGCTGCTCTCCTTAATACCTATACCGTAATAGTGATACCTGGAACACATGAAAAACTGGTAAAGAGCACTAAAATGTTAACAAAAGATGTTCGACTGGTGAATTAATTATTAATTGCTGTACAGCTCTATGCAATCTGACTTTGCCTTACTTTGAATGGCCTCTGGTGCCAAGCCTCCGGGTTGTGAGGAGAGGAAATTTTTGCCGTATGGTCTACGGTTACACAGAAAGTAAGCATTTGATATATCACAGCTGTTTACTGAAACTAAAGAACAGTTCAATAATATTAAAACAAAAATCTCAAAAACAGACAGTAATACTGCTTACCTTGCCAAAAGTGGCAGCACAAGCAGGATCTAACTTCTCCTTCCGACAGAAATCCAGGTAATGAGCATAGAGGATGCATCGAGGCAAGCAAACTCCTTCACAAACTATATAGTTTTCTTCAAGCCTAATTGAAACATGTGAAAAAATAAAATAATTCCAACAATTTTTCAAAAACATGCTGCATGACTAAATGGTTGAGATGTGAACAAAGTCATTCAGAGTGGTATGATGTGAAATGCTCTATTCTAGAGAAACAGAGTCAGAATTGTTCACCATGGTAGTGATAGGAAACAGACGCCTGAAGAGTTCAACACCTCTGAAAGCTCCCTCACAGAAGGTGCTTTGAGGTGAAATAAAATGGTTATGATTATTACATTGCATAATGTCTGAGACATTCTTTTATAAAGGTTTTACAAAAGATTTTGGCCTAAAACATTTTTTTTAAATACATTAATGGCAGAGAGGTACACGCAGGGCATTGTAAGGAAAAATAGTCCCCAAAGAAAATGTTCAGATTTACCACTATTTTACCATCATCAACATTACATAAAAAACTTAGAAGATGTGTGTAGTAAAAATAAAAAATAAAAAAAAAATAAAATGAAATATTTGAAATATTTCCTGTGGTTCCTATCACCACCACTGCTAAGAAATCTGAGCCGGTACTTTTCTTTCTTTCAGCATGAAGCCTTTCAGTTCATATTGTACATCTCAGTGACTGAATTATGTGGATTTTTTATTTTTTAATAAGTGGAATTCTATTTAAAAAATATTACAGGTAATCTCACTGTAATATTACTCAGTTACAGCTTGATGAAATTTGATAATGAAATAAATACCACTGTAGTGTTAACTGAGTCTGCTTCTTCTTGTCTTTGATGATTTGACTGATGCTTTTCTTTGCGACAGTTTGCTCGAGAGCAAAGTTCTTCGAATATTCAAGGTGGTGCAAGTCATCTTCAGAGGATAAGGTTCCATTGCTTTCCTCAGCCTCTGTCAGATAAAACGACATTAATTTTAAACTCTCATTCATTTGTCTCATTTGTATATGAATCACTGACAGTCTTCGTGCATCATTGGATTGGACTAATGTTTAAAAACAAAGATGCTCCTAACTGATGCATTTTTATCATTTTTTGAAAACAGAACTATGGCGAAATATCTCATATATTGCTGCCGTCCGAATAAAACCTTGTTTCTCTTTTTTTTTTTTTTTACAGAATTTGAAAATGCTAACTGTTCTTTACAGTGTGTTACAGCTGATGACTAGAACAATAGAAATGCCCCAGAAATACTGTTCCATTTAAATTTAAGAACATTTTTCCTTCTCCTGTAAAATTACCATTTTGGAGACAATACATTTTTTCTACTGTGTGGTCCTGTTTATACACCTAATGTCCTAAACAGAAATCAAAGCCAAACTCCACTCACCTGATTTAATTCCTGAATCCTCCTCCTCCTCTTCAAACGTGTCTTTGAAAAACATGTTTTTTGTCAGATCTTGCTGGTCACCAGTGTTGGTTGGGTGGGGATCATTAGCACTACTGTAAGTCCTCTTTGGTTGCGGTGGCTGAAGCTGATGAAACATGTTGTTCCCCACAGGGCTTCCACTGTTCATTTTCATGGGCATATTACAGGGGTACTTAAAAGGAATGTGCTGGAACTAAATTACAGACGAATATACACCTCAAAAATAATACCCTCTCATCCAAAATTTGGGTCCAGTTTGACGCACAGATCCAGTCCCAAAATGATGAACATCTCAGGTTCTTTATGAAAAATACTGATGAGAAATCGAAATAACATACACACTTTCTTCTTTTCGCTAAGATTCAAACAAAAATTCTCAAAGATCCATGTCCAAACATGAATCCGTCGAAACAGGTAACACCTTCCAGTCTTAATTAAAGCTGTGCTGCGTCTGAAACAGTACGTCACAGGGGTGAGAGCCTTGGGGGCATTTATCTTATTTACAGAAGACTGGCAGTAGATTCTGTGCATTAATGATTAACCTGAGGGGCCATCATCTCCTTCAAACCTGGTGCTGCGGCCTTTCAACTGGACTATAGCCCCATCCAGAGCCTTCCTTTTGCAGTACCTACTTTCAACAGAGCTAGGCCTGCTGAATTACACACATTCTCAAGCTGTGATTTTGAACTCTGACAGCAAATAATATCATATGATCTATTTGTTAGGCTTGCCGAGAGCGTACAGCTGGTAAACTGGCCTTGAGACATACAAGGAGGTGCCAGTTTATTAGATAAACCTACTTTGTGAGTACATTCACTGGCAATTTTATCAGAAAAACTGTAGTAACTGTGATCTACTATATCAATACTGAGAATAATCCAAATAATACCTGCTCTGGGGAGGGGGGTCCTGACCACTGATGAACAGGATTAAGGGGGGTAACAAATGATGCAGAAAAAAAAAGATGGACAACAAGCTGTAATTGTAGAACTACCAAGTTCCCATTAGGAAACCATCAAATGCATCTGAAATCAGTCCCAGAACACGCGTTGAACCATTGGAAGTCCTATCAGGAAAACGCAAAATACCATTAGTGACTACCATCAGGAACCAGCAGAATCTTTTAATGGTTTCTATATCAGCAGGGTAACCAGCTTACCAGATTTAACTGCTTAAAATCCCAGGCTTATTACATACTAAGCTATATTATTCAGTAATTAGACAGTCTTACAAAACTTTTATATGTATTGTACTGACAGCTATAGTAAATATTGTGATTCAAATAAATAAATAAATAAATAAATAAATAAGCAAGCTTTAGACGGCACGTATACCGATGTGGGCGGGGCCTCTGACTCTGAGACTACAGATCCATTAACGAACCCGTGACGTCATAGAGAGAGCGAGAGAGAGAGAGAGAGAGAGAGAGAGAGAGACGTTTCCATGGTGACGGACAGTTACAATAGAGCGGGTGTTTCTATCGGAGCGTCATTCTGCGGTGTGTCCGAATAACAGAGCACAAAACAGGTGAGTGGCTGAACTTTGTGACCTTTTTCCGCTGTAACTGTTCAGCAGGAGAAAAGAACCAGCTGCTGTTCGCTCTGACTCTCAAACCGAATCACTCGACCCGCTCGAGCCGAACGAGTCATTCGCTCCGACCTGATTCGAACTCCGGGTTTCGCGCGTGCTATGGCGTCACACACGGTCAGCGCGTCAGGACTCCGTACCCTTTGTTTTTGGGATAATGAAGCGACGCCAATGAAGAAAACTTAAATGTATGTAAAAGCAAAATACAATATTCACATCTTCTGAACAGAAGTCAAATGTTACCTTTAGACCTTATTAAAGCAATAAGCCACCAGAGGCCGCGCGTTACTGTGATTTTATCACAGGAGTAAGTAGGAACGCACACCCCCTCGTAGCTTATTGCTTTTGTAAAACGGCGGCCAACATAAAATATAATAAAATGCACAATTTTTCTGAAAATAATTTACGTTATTATAATCGACATAAACAAGTATTCGGCACACAAATGTAGCTAGTTCCTTTAGAGTCCGGTATTGTTGCTAAGCAACCATGGACCGCTGAATGAGGAGAAGAACGTTTTAACTTTTGTCATGTAATAATGAACTTATGATAACACAGCACTGTTTAATGCAGAAACGTTCACTTTATAAGTACTTTTGGTCACCAGAATACCACCACGAGACTTATTTAGCACCAATCCAGCGTAGCCCCTCTTCTCACGGTGGGCTGAATCTCAAACGGCTCCCTGCCCCCTACATAGTGCGTAGTACGTCAGAATTTAAATACTGGCTCCTGCAGATTTTAGGCCCGGAACTGTCCGCTTTATAAATCATTATTTTACTAAAGTCTAAACAGTCTTTCTCATCTTACTTTTCACATTCTTTCTCTCTTTCGCTCTTTTTAAACCTCTCTCGCCCCCACTTTTTTCTACCTTTCCTTCTGTCCCTCTTTCTCTCTGTCTCTCTCTCAGTTTCTCTCTGTCTCTCTTGGCCTCTCTCTCCACCTTTTTAATCTCTCACTTCCTCTATCTCTCTGTCTTCTCACTGTGTCTCTTCCCCTCTTTCTCTCCATCTCTCTCCTTCCCATCTCTCTCTTTTCACCTCTCTCTCTTTCTTTCTTCACCTGTTTATTTCTCTTTTCCTTCCACCTTTCTGTCTCTTTTTCTCTCTTACTTTCTTTCTCTCTCCACCCCCTTTCTCCCTCTCTTTCTTTTCCTCTATTTTTGGCCTTTATCTGTATATACCCACAGTCTTCAACTTTCAGATGTTTTTACATCGTTTTCTTTAGTTTTTTTTTTTCAATATAGGTCCAAAATCAATTTTCCACATGAGTTCGTTACTAAACATATTAATCCAGTACTTTATTTTGTGTTCTAGAGCTAAAATCACCAGAGAGGATGAAGCTGTGTCCCCTACTTGGTCCCACAGACTGTGGGTGTTGGAGCAGCTGCCTCCCCAAAATGACCTTCTTCAACAGTCGAACTCTGGAGAGGCAGAGAGAGGAGGAGCAGCTCAGACAGCTTCAGAGAGAGAGGAGTGAGATGGAGAGAAGAATAGAGGTGATGAGGAGGAAGCTAAAGAGGATGGAAAAGGAGGAGAGGAAGAGGAAACTGGAAGAGGAGAGACAGAAAGAGCAAAGAGAGATGGCTGTGTTGAAGATGTGGACTGTGATGGAGTGGGAGAGAGTGATTAAGAAAGACAGGAAAGAAAGAGAGGAGCTGGAGATGCTTAGAGAGCTGGACAAACAACTGCAGCTGAAAGAGAGAAAGAGAAAGAAAGGGAGAGAGGAGAGAAAGGTAAGACATGCTAGCTAAACTCCCGAACAAGACAGCAATCACCAGAAATATTACAGCGATTTTTGTAATATTCATGTTTTAGAAAGAAAGCAGAAGCTTTGTATAGAGTGTGAATTTATGACAGTTTGTATTTATATTTATATTAAGTTTTTTATTTAGCTAAGTGGTAACTAGGTAGCTTTGCTAGGCTACATGTGCTAATTTCTCCTGATCGTTAGATTAGCTGGTTAGCTGGTCAAATCTATATGTCATTGTATTTTACCTCAGTGCTCAAACACAAGATAAGAGCTCAGTTCAGTACATTCCTGAGTGACAACAGCGACAGGTGGAGTTGTGCTAGTCGATGAACTGATTAAAATTCCTACAATGCTAAAATGAGGATGCTGTGTGTGCTGTAGTTTAGTAGAGTCATGCTAATGTTCACTATTAAGAGGAATGAAACTGTACCTGTAGCCAGCTAATCTAGCATTAGCTATCACTCAGATTAAAAAAAAACTGTCTGTTTTCTTTTTGAAACATGAATATTTAAAAAATCACTGGAATACTGTACGTACGAGAGCTTCTTCATCTTAGCCAGCTGGTAGCACCAGTAAAAGGGGGCTATCCTGAGAATGTAGCTAACCTAGCTTAGCTAACTCTGTATAGAAGATTTCTCACTTACTTTTCCTACTTTGGATCCACAATTCTTTCACTTAATTCTGTTAATGAAAAGGTCTTTTTCACATGTGCTGTTCTTGTGTGTTTTAGAAGAATCTGCTGGGACAGGATCTTATTAGCAAAAGTGAGGACGCTCTGCAGCATCCAATAAAGCCTGAGGTAGGTGCGTTTGGTCTGGAAGACAGGGCGAGATGGCATCAGATGGAGCTGCTGAGATGCAGACAGAGACATGAAGAGATAAGAACAGATCTGGAGAAGGTGAAGGAGAAGATGGCAGGGAAAGAAAGCCATATAGAGGAGAAGGTCCTCGATGCTGAGGGAGAAAGTTTGATCCTGTTTCAGCAAAATACAGAACATCTGAACTGGAAGGAGAGAGAGCATGCTCCGAAATCAAAGAACAGCAGTAAGTGGGAAAGAAAAGAGAGAAAGGAGAGAGAAAGACAAACCAAGAGAGAAGAAGTAATGAAAAGAGAGCAAGAAAAACTAGAAGAACTGGAAGATATATGCAAAAGGATGGAAAGACAGGTGGAGGAGGAGAGGAGGGCAGTGAAAGAGAGAGAAACAGTCATGCTGGAAGAAATGGAGAGAAAGAAAGAGAGTGAGAGACAAAAGATGGAGAGAGAGCTGAAGAAGAGACAGAGACGGATGGAAAAGGAACTACGGGAGCAGCTGAAAGAGAGCGAGATGGAGAGAGAGAAAGAGAATGAGCTAGAGAGAGAGCAGAAGGAACGACACAGGCAGGCAGAAGAGCGACTGAGAGAGATGGAGAGAAAGATCATGGAGGAAGAAGAAAAAGCCCTAAGAGAGGAAGAGAAATGGAAAGAAATGATCCAGAAACAGGAGGAAGAGTGGCAGCATAGATTTCGGGACCTGGAAGAAAAGAGAGAGAAAGAAATTAGGGCTGAGAAAGAGAAGATCCGACAGAGAGAAAGAGAGAAGGCAAAGAGAGAGACTGAAAAACGAAGGGAATTTGAAAAGCTGGAGAAGGAGAGAGAAGCAGAGGCGAGAAGGCAGATAGAAATGAAAGTGCAGGAAACCCAGGTTGAAGAAAATCTAAAGAACGAAAATGAGAAACAGAGAAAGAGAGAGTGGAGAAAGGAGGAGAGCAAGAGAGAAGAAAAGAAACTGACAGAACTGGAAGAAAAGCAAGAAAAAGAAAAACAAAATGAGTTTGAAGAGCTCCAGAAGCAGACGGAAAGAGAGCTGGTGGAGAAAGAAGAAGAATTGAAGAGGGAGAAAAAGAAGATGACAGAAAAAGAAGAGAGGGAGCTAGAAGAAGAGACAATGATAAAGGAAAAGAACCCAAAAGAAACATCAAACAAAAAGGAAGAAATAGAAGGAGAGATAGACACAGAGATAGAGACAGAGATAGAGGAGAAGAAGAGAGAGATAGAGGAGGCGAAGGAGAATGAGCCAGAGAAGCAGAGAGAAGAGGAAAGAGAGAAAGAGAGGAGGGAGAGACAGCTGGAGACAGAGAGAATACAGAAAGCGAGAGAGGAGCATATGAAGAAAGAAAAGAAGCAGAAGAAAGAGTGGATGAAGCGAATGTTTGGTGAGGGCAGTATATTCAGGTCACAGCATGGAGCTGAGCGCAGGGGCTCTGAGCGAAAAAGGAGCAACAGGCCTTTGATGGTGACTGACGGAGACGAAAAGCAGCACGGGCCTCCGGAGCAGAAGACACCAGAACCATTGAGCGGGCCTGTTTCTACAAACGGAGGACCACGGCTCATCTCCGTAAGACCCCTGAGCTCGAGCCCAGGCCCTGTAGAGGAGCTCAAAGTGACCAGTACCCAGCCAGCTGACCCCACTACACCCACCAGCACAGTGGGTGGTTCAGGGGATGAGAGCAGCATTGGACCTGAGGAAGCCAGCCCAGAGCAAGATTGTACCACAGAGAATAAGGTGGATGAGACCAACTCTGACAGCAGGAAAACGTCTGGCATCACTGTGGACGACTTATCGGTCTTTGCGTTGCGGCCAGCTCCACAGGGTATTACAGTCCGGTGTCACATCAAGCGGGACATGAAGACCACAGACAACAACCTCCACCCCATATTTCACATGTACCTGGAGGAAGAGGATGGCAAGAAGGTCAGAAGGGGGCAGAGTGTCAGGGATAGACACAGCATGTACTTTAGTCACGTTTGTCATTTAGTGTCAGAAACCACAAAAGCAAGTTTATTTGAGATTAATTAACAACTTGAAACAGTCTGAAAGTGTATGATTTAGCCCTGCAGTTAGCACCGTGCTAATTGGTAGAGTGTAAGCTTGCATTAGTTGCTAGCTACATAAGGAGCGTAAAGGAGGGGGGGTTGATTTTTCACCATACCATATTGTTGTTTTCTCTTTCTCAATCTGTCTTTTTGTCATTCTTTCTCAGAAATTCCTGTTGTCCGCTAGGAACACAAGTACCACCATGACAGCTAACTATGTGATCTCAGTGGATCCCTCTGGCTGGTATCATGAGGGTGAGAACGTCGTAGGGAAATTAAGGTATGTACGAGCTTCTACTAAAATAGTGACGCCCTCTAGGGGCTCCCTTTGTGTATGGCTGTCTTCATTCCATAGAGCTGTATTCCTTTATCAGTAGGTCTGATCATGTAGTCTTAGGTTCTCTGTGTCTTTTGTAGGTCAAACATGCTGGGGACTAAATTCACGTTATGTGGAAAAAGCAGGACCAACAGCAAGAACAGTAGAGCTCTGCTGAAGGGAAGAAACCCACAGCAGGAGCTCACAACAATCCGCTATGTGAGTACACAAACATATGCACACACATTGTTATTGGGAAAGAACAAGCGTAAAGGAATAGTGAACATATATCGCATATTCTTTCTGTAGGAGGCCGATCTAATGGGAGGTGAAGGACCACGCAAGATGTCTGTCATCATCCCTGGCATGAACGTGAACTCTGAGCGCTCTCCAGTTCACTCTATTAAGGTGAGTTTGATGCTATTCACTGTTGATGACCACAGATTATCCCATCTCACACAGTTCCTCTTCCAGTTCTCATGGGGTCTCAGTTGTTTTGAAAGCTAGATGAGCTGATAAAGATGTACAAAGTTTCTTTTTAATGTTCTCTATCATTGCACCTTGTTACTTTGGCCTCTGTGTGGTTCATATACACTATATTGCCAAAAGCATTCACTCACCCATCCAAATCATTGAATTCAGGTGTTACAATCACTTCCATGGCCACAGGGGTATAAAACCAAGCACCTAGGCATGCAGACTGCTTCTACAAACATTTGTGAAAGAATGGGACGCTCTGAGGAGCTCAGTGAATTCCAGCGTGGTACTGTGATGGGATCCCACCTGTGCAACAAGTCCAGTCGTGAAATCACACTCCTAAACCTTGTTGAAAGCCTTCCCAGAAGATGTTATAGCTGCAAAGGGTGGGCCGACATCATATTAAACCCTGTGGATTAAGAATGGGATGTCACTCAAGTTCATATGCGTGTGAAGGCAGACGAGCGAATACTTTTGGCAATATAGTGTAGCTTAGGCTACATATGATTCCAAAAGCTTTAACGAGACAGGCTGACAAAGACCGTACCCTTTTCTTTTTTGTGATTTTGTGATGCGCATGTGATTCTTAGGCTTACAGAAAGATTCTTAATTAAAACGCTTCATTCATTTAATAGTAATTAAAGACTGCTTTTACTAGTTTTAGATACAGTGGCAATAGCAATGCAATAGCAGAGTAAGGGTTCAGTAGTTGAGTCCGGTCACTGTCACTGTCGCTGCCAAAAATATTAATCAGGCTATCAAAAACACCAGGAAAAACGAAAAAAGAAAAATAGCAGAAACGAGAAAGACCATGTCAGACATTTTACCTATGGCATCTGGTCAGCAGTGGTCCTATGGTGGTTCTTTTCCACTGACGGACAGGGTAGTGTAGCAGCGGATCAGCTAATACTGTTTCTAATATAGCTATGTGTGCATCATTAACAGGATCAGAGATCTTTATTAAAGAGGTGGCAGAAGCCTAAACTGGAGAATGTCATCCAGCTGCGTAATAAAGATGCAGTGTGGAATGATGTCACTATGGGCTACGAGCTGAACTTCTACGGACTGACACCACGGGCCTCCAGGAGAAACTTTCAGCTCATTCATGCCGACAAACGTAAGCTCACAAGCTTTTACTCATTTGTACATTCGTAGTGTGTCTTCAGATGGATGTTTCTCCTTTCATTGGGTCGTTCCTCTCTCTCTTTGTGTCAGAACAACTTAGCTGATTTATTGTCTTTCTCCTGTTTGTTTGGATTTTGATGAATCTTTTTCCGCTTTTTTTCTCCTCAGCTGACAACATTCTGATGGTGTTTGCCCGCATGGCTGATAATGAGTTCACGCTGCACTACTGTTATCCCTTGTGCGCCCTTCAAGCCTTCAGCATCGGCCTGTCCAGCATCCACAGCAAACTGGCCTGCATTTGACATCTACTTATGTGCTGGTGGACATCTGCTTATGTGCATTCTGTCCTTATTCTTTCTTTTTCTTCAGCTTACTCCCTCCTTTATTCAGAGTAGCATGGCTCCAAATACATCCTGTCTAGCCTGTAATAAAAGCATTAAAGATCAGTCTCTGCACTGGTCCTCTTCATTTAGTCATCAAGTGTACTAGTGCAGTAGTTGTGAGTTTTGCAGGTATATGACCTACACGTGAAGGCAGAGCTGACGCAGAGCAGATTATTTTCTTTACATTATAAACGTTTTAAACATTTCAGACATTTATGCATTTTTAATCTGCAGATACGGTTGTATGAAAAACTTCGAACATACCCATTTAAATTACATGTTTTGATGATTTTCTAAGTGAAAACTTCTACAGGGAGCAGACTTAAAGTCATGTGAAAAACTAAGTACACCCTATAAAATGTTTCTTTTTTTTAATTACATATGTGGGAATATATTTAGTATTTTATCATCAGCTAAATATTGTGCATAAATAAATGGTACACAGCAGAACAATAGGAAAGGAAAATAAGGAAATTAGCTGAGATGTCCTTTTTTCTGTTGAAAAGGTATGTACACCTCTGGCTTCAGTAACTGGTATTGCCTCTTTTGACAGAAAAATCTATGTGTAGGCATTTCCTATTACTGTCTACCAGTTTTTTGGCATTTACTGGGAGAAATTCTTGCCTATTCTTTTTGTGCAGAAGTATTTCAACTGTACAACATTTGAGGGGCTTCTTGCATTTACAGCCCATTTAAAATCCCCCCACAGCATTTCAGTGGGATTCAGTTCTGGGCTTTGACTAGGACATTTTACAACTCTCCATGTAATCCATTTGAGCCATTCATTAGTGGATTTATTTATATGATTAGAATCTTCATCCTGTTGGAAGGTCCACTTCATCAGCTTTAACTTTTTGGTAGATGGCCTCACATTCTCCTCAAGAACTGTCTGGTATAAAAGAGAATTTATAGTTGATTCTGTGATTGCAGATTGGCCAGGCCCTGAGGCAGCAAAGCAGTCCCCAACCATAACATTTCCACCATCATGCTTAACAACTGGAATGAGTATCTTCTGATCAAATGCTGTCTTTGGTTTTTGGCAAACATGGCTACTTCTGGTACTGTGGCAAAAACAACTCTTATTTTGGACTCGCCTGTCCATAGCACATTGTTCCAGCCCCCACTTCCTTACCTAGATATCCATTAGCAAACTTTAGTCTTGTTCTATTCTTTTTAGACAGCAAAGGGTTCCTCCTGGAGCACCTCCCATGTGGGTTAAATTTGTGCAGTCTTGTTCTAATTGTACATGCACTTTCACATAAACAGTAGCAAGAGCCACTGTGATGAGAACTTGTGATGAAATTTTGGGGCGCTTAGAGACTTATTTATATACGGTCTGCTATCGGGTTAACCTTCCTGGATCAGTTGGCAGTGGTTTTAAATCTTGTCCACTTGTAAAGTGGACAGTGAAAACACTGATCTCCAAAATTCTGGATATCTTCTGAAATCCCTTTCCAGACTTCTACAACTTTCTTTCTGAAGGCCTGAGGGAACCTTTTTTATCTAGGCATGATGATACAACATACTCCAATAACAAATAGCAAACCAGACCAGATATCTGGGGTTTAAGCAAGACAGGTTCCTCCAAGATGTTCTCTAACGGTCTTCTAAACATTTACACCTGGTCGTGTGTACCTGATTTCAATTTGATAGGTTTGAAGTAGTGATATATGTAGAGCTGTACTTACTTTTTTCCACATTCCTTTATCTGTCAACACTGTTTAAAAGAAAAATTGATTTCTGTATCTCCAAGTATGTTGAAAAAGTCTAAAATTTTCTTGGGGCATATTTACTTCTTGACATGACTGTAAATATGACTTTTATGCCGATTTTAACAAATTTGAAAAACTAAAATAGAATATAAAATGTGGCATAACTTTTGCACAGGCCACATTTTGAGTTTAATTTCCCATATGTTAGCAAATAAACAGCAATTGTGCATTAAAATGTGCAGAGGTGTGTTCTATGTAGAGAACGTGTTAACTTTTTGTCACTTAGAAAATCAACAATATTGCATATGACTAATAATTTAATAGTGTAGACGATTAGATTCTCAGAGCACTTTAACACAATCTTCTCAACTCACCACACTTGGTTTGAAAAATATCAGTACGAACTCTCAAAAAAAATCTAAAACATTGTAATTGTGAAGTTGTGAAAATGTCAGAATTATCCTACAGTTGTTTTTAACTGTGCATTGTACAAAAGGCAAAAATATACGCATATAATTTATCCTACATTTGAGCATGTTGCTCCTCACGTCCAGTCAGTGTGGGGATAAACAGCACTTAGCAGAGTCAGCGGACTGAGGTTGCACATGCCAAAAAAAAAAATCTGTTCCATTTTAAATTAAAATAAGATGAAAATAAAGCTTAAAGCACTTATTGCTTCAGTGGTAGATAAGCTGTTCCTGACTGTTTGATAGGGAGTAAGGTAGGGCTAGTTTGTTTAGGGTTAACAGTAAGCAGGATGGTGTATCGGTCAGGACACAGGAAAGAAGATGAGGAGATGTAATTCTTTCTTTAACTGTATTGTATTCCAGCAGTATTTAGTGATACAGCTTGACATTCAGTATCGCCATCAGTCTGAAATAATAGTAGAATAAACCAGCAATCAAACATAAATCAAGCACAAACTTATCAGTAACATTACAATGCCCATTTAGCAGAAACAGTAACCTAGAGTCACATATAAATGGGAATATTACTCCTCAGAGGAATAGATGTGCTCAAACATGTACATAAAGGACAATGGTGACACCCCCTGGCTATTCGAGGGTACTGCAGAATGGCGTTTATATACGGCGGCCATTTCCATACATAGAACGCTACCAATCCTTCCCTACGATACAATGGTCTCACATTAACTGAGATATATAAAGGATCAGAGCCTTCTTAATGATTAGCTTAACACTTCCTGCAGTCAGTTATTTTCATGTACATCGTGACAACATTGGCAACGTCTCCTCTCACACTGAACACATACGATTGTGGAGTTGAACTTGCGAGGTACGAACACAACAACAACAGCACTTACTTTCCGTCATTGACTCAATACTTGAATATCGCTGGTTGGATCACACAGGAAGGAATAAGGAACGTTAACAGTCATAGGTAAGTGAGACTAGACTATGGAGTGGCGCAGCTGAACTGGCGAACTCCTTCATCTTCGATGGTGAACTACTGAAATATACACGTCACTCCCCTATACCCATAGAACGCGGGTCTTAAAGTGATTTACACCCAAATTGTCTTAGCCTTTTATACACTCACAATATGTTCAAACGACATATTGTGGTTAAGGAATGTGTAGCTAGCTTAGCACTGTGTGCCTGATGGGTTAACTAGCTAGCCTAGCTTAGCCAATGTCATTTAGGAGGATAGCCACCAGTTTAGGCTCCTGCTTCTGTGTAGTAAAATGGCTTAAAGTCACTTGCATTAACATTTTTTCGTCTTCCTATTCACCTCTTCAGTTGGATTGCAACCAGCTATTAATCCACCAGAAGAAGAATAATTTGGTCCCCATTCGGTCAGATCAGGGAGAGCTACATGGGGTTTTACTGTAGATGATGGGTTTAGTTAATGTTCGTACATCCCTACGTTTCCACAACTTTGAGACACGTTATGTAAAAGTTCTCACAATCGTCTCAAAAGCTTTCTTTTAACTGTTTTAAATAAATCGTTTAAAGGACTAAATGTATGATGTTCTTTAGACACGTATTAGGAAACGTTAGTCAACTGTTTTACATGCATTTCGAAGACGATTCACAGTTGAAAAACGGAATCCATTGTGTTCTACTGGACTTTTTTTGCTAATATAACATTTAATCCAATAATATAGATAAGCAGTTACTTTTCTTAGTTTTTTTCTGACTGCATTTCATAAAAACTACAATAAAGACTGAAACTTCTGTTACTAGAAACAACGAGTTTTCCACGGCCTGTTTTGAATGCTGTTGCCATGGTGACGGAGATGTGGCGGTTAAATAAGCAGACTTAACCGGTTTAAACCAGTAGCAGCCAGTCTTCTCTGGTTTATTCCAGAGGGGCCACCTGCCAGTCTATCTTGCTGACTTTACATTAGTTATGGGCTTAATATGTTTAGTAATATAAAAATAACTCATAATTAGTAATGTAATAAAATTATCAAATCGCCAAGATTTATTAATTGCAGAGATAAAAGTCTATAAATGAGAATTAATGTTAAGATATGTTAGCATTAATAATAATAATAATAATAAAAACAAACAGGGAAATAAAATGAGCCACAAAGCTGAAGTCAGCTTCTTATTGGCCAGCGTTGTGTTAAAATGTTCCTGTTCCATCTTAAACGGTGCAGCAGTTCTGGGGCCTGAGGCGTTATAATAACTTGCACCATTAAAGGTGGAACTGGAAAATTAGAACAAGAAGCAGTGAAAAGTAAGAGAAATTTAGACTTGTAAATAAACCAATGTAAATCTTGCAGACACAGGTGTTTATCTTGGACATATCGATTAAAATGTATAAATTCTCAACAAGCAAGATAATGTGAGGTTTACTCTTCTCAAGCATCCCTGAAACAAATGTAAGTTTTATTATTGTACAAGTACACGCTGATTCAGGCCGTTTTCTGTTTCTGTAAGGTTAGATGATAGCAGACCTGGGCAAAAGGGTTATGTAATTACATGTTGTCAATGATATACAACCCAGACAGCACAAATACGTTGCTGCTCCGTATTTAGAATGGTCGGCATTATGTAGCATTTAGGGCTTTTGCTCATTGGCACTACGTAGCTCCGATGAATAAGCGCCCTCTAAAGGATGTTCATCCGATGTTTTTCCTACATACCGACTTTCATGCTCCCTTTCAGCGACGTAAATTCTACACTTTTATTTTTTGGTTTTCTATGCATAATAAGCCAAGTAATTTCTATCTTTTCC